CCCAGGGGGAGACTACAGATCGGCAGATGCTTTTGAGCTGAGCGAGGTGGCAAATACATGTTTAAATAAACATGTAGGTATAAATAATATAAGGATGAAAATAGTGTGTATTCATAATGGAGAAACACAGAAATTCATGTATTTAGTCACCTCACGGATGGAATGTGACATGCACAAAAATATGTATATACTTATGTGTGCATACAGTCAGGAATAAAAAAACATTTAGAACTTGGGAGATCGGTAGGTCTTAGAGTGATGTCACTCTCAGGTGGTGACAGGTGGATCCAAGCATTGGTTGCATCAAATTTATGGTGGCTTTGATAGCGGTGAGGAAGTACAAGCTTCTGAAATGTGCCTTTTTGACATGCAGCAGTCCAAACAAACGGCTTAATGAGATGCTGCCAGTGTCACTGGCATTTTTTATTTCCCCTTGGCACCAAATCACTGTAAAATCTGATACTGATGCAGCCAGTTCTGACGAGGTAAATCTATGTCCATGTGCTTTGGAAAATAAAGGACATGGCAAGCATTTGCTGCTGTTGCTCTTCATGATTTTTTTTTTTTTTTTTTAAATTGTCCTTCTCTCTTGTAAGTTTGGGCAAACTCTTCTTGAAAGAGAGAATGAAGTCTGATGTAATGTCATTGTGTGACTGCAGGAAGGGGTTGTCCTGAAGGCTCCAAGTTGGGAAGATTTCTTGTTCAGTATGGGATAGTGGGGTTGATTTCCAGCTTCTGTGGCTGTGGAAAAAAATATGAAAAACATGAGCATGAAGGGCTGAAAACCAGGAAGGTGTAGGGAAAGCTTCACAGCATGCTGTGGTTTTTAGTAAAACTGTATAAATAGTACAGATCTGTATAAATAGTACAGATCTTGGAGTATGGGGGGATAGCTACTGACTAGGAGGACCAGGTCCCTGCAGGCCAGTGGCTGCTGGATTCTGTCTTGGTAGGCACCTTGGGTCCACGAGATGTAGCTCTGCCTCAGCATTTATTTCTCTGGGGGAAAAACCCGAGGAACAAACAAAAACCCAGGAAGGATGCCTAGCTAATGTGGGAGGGCCTGTTTGCATATCCTTGCCCTGCTGATGACAGCTTAATAAGCTCCTTTATTTTGTGTTTTTATTCAGCAAGCTTGTCATCTCTTGTGAAGGCTCTGACCTCTGCTTTCACTGTCCCCTTGGCTTGTCCCGGAGGGTACTTCTGTCCTGTAGCTTGTAGGGCTCTGAATGGAGTGGGCCATGGTTCCTTGGAGCAGTGCTGCTGCTGGGGGATGCCCCACTGTGGGGTTGGAGAGTGCAGAGCAGAACAGGGCTTAGTCTTTATGAGTGAGGAAACCCAAACAGACCAGGGAGAATTCAGTAAACAGGGCTGCCCTAAATGAGTTACGACACATGATGTGAGAACAGCTAAACATTTTGTAGCTGGCTTCCATTTTTTTCTAAACAGAAAGCAAGGCATCCCAGTACCGTGACTGTTTGCTATTAGATCCTGCACAAAAATATATTGGGGTGGCATTTAACTTCAGTGACTGGGTATATCAAAAAGATGTGGGTTGTATTTCTTTCCACTCATTTAATTGGAACCATGCTGCAAAAGAGTATGAAAGCCATCATTCCTTAATATTTCCAAAGAGCAGCTCTGTGACGCTGAAGCTGATGTCCGGCCTGACAGGATTTTGCATAGAGGAGGCATTTTGGATCATCTCCTGCTTCCAGCCAAATTTGCTTTCCCTGGGTTATTATTTTTTCTTTGCATTATGTGCATCCAACTGCCTGTTTCATACCTCGCTGTCTGGGAATACAAACCTGTTTGTCTCATTGCAGGCCTTAGAATGTGTAGGCCAAATAAAAAAAAAGGGGGGGGGAAGAAATAAAATGTTTTGTGTAATAACTCCATGCGTATTAACAAGCCAGTTATGAAAGGGCCGAAGATTACTGTCTCTGAGTATTTTGCTTCCATTATATATTCCGTACTTGGTAAGCATCTGCGTTCTGGGTGTTGGTTATCAGGATTGGGGGAGTGAATGTAACTGTTTTAGATGCTTAATTGGCTGTTGGGACATACCTAGTTTGTAATCATCATAATTGCACATACAAGTATGACCATATAATTACATGTGCATTTTTGCATTTAGTTGCATGACTTCACTTAGAAAAGCATAAATGCAGCCCAATAAGTCCTTTATATCTCAAAATTCTGTGCTTTTATAACTCTATATAATTATGTAATAGCGCTGCATCTGGAGAGGTTTCACTTAAGCAATAAAGAGCTCAGGTTAGATTATATATTTTTTAAGCTAGACCTACACAAACTTGTTTGGTGCTGTGTTTCACTGGTGCGGTTGGTGAATTCAGCAGTACTTGTGTAAGAAAATATTCTTCTGAGAATAAGGAACCCAGTGTGTATCAAGCTCATTTCAGCTTCTGCAGTGACTGAAGCGAGTAGATGGGCAATAGAATAGTAAAATGTACCCTGAATACTCAGATGCTCAGACAGCAAAGGCTTTTGCCAACGTACTAATTGATTGCCCAAATAGAATTACTGCTTAAAAGTTCCAGTTCTCTGAGAACAAATTGAAACTTAACTATGGCAACTTATGGATCGAGATAAAATAGATACAAGTAGGCACTGTAATTGATTTCATCTGCACGTAAGTAGTAAGACTGATCTATCAGTATTTTATGTGTGTGGATATACATGTATCCCATTTTATAATCAAATTCATGTTTAATTGTTATCTTCCTTCTTTCAGTTCTTGGAATAGTTTCTACAAACACGAGACTGTCGAACAAAGTCTGATGTCTTGTTTGAGTTCTTTGTTGCTGTGACTCAACACTTAACTGTGACAGTGTTGTTTCCCAGTGTCTATTCCTTTTCATTTCCCTGAGGGCATTTTTCCCCACTGAGTAACAGTGAGCACTACAGACAAGTGCTGAGTTCACAGTGAAGGAGCAGAAGTTTCATTCTGACACTCACATATGTTTTTCTCTCTGTCGTCTCACACGAGGGGAGTGAAATACCCAGTAAAAATTGCAGACTTCAGCTCGTGATCCGTCTGTGCTGAAAGTTTTGGCTTTCTCTGAACATCGGTAGACAGTGCACTAAATATTTTCATTGAGTTTCATTCCTATTTTTGTTTAGAAGATTTAAGCAGATGTGTGTTTATGTGGCCATCCATGATTGCTCATTGAACATGCATTCCTAATTTCTGTAAATATCTGCACAAAAATGGTGTCAAGACACCCAAGTCCCATCCGAATGACTCTGGCTTAGGAAATTACTGCTGCCGTGGCTGCAAGGAGGAAGGTCTGCTTTTCCCATTTCATTTGTTCCAATCAACACCCATCCCAAGCTCTCAGTTGTGCATCAGTGCCAAGATCTTTTTGGCGCGCCTTAGAATAAAATCTTCTAGCTCTTTTTTTGTTTAGATTAAACTCTGTGTTTAAGCTGTTGTTTTGAAATGCAGTGCCATCTTTACACCAAAAAGAAAAACTGTTTATTTCACTTGCGTTTTTGGAACGCTTTTTTTCACTGAAATGCTGACAGCTCCTGTCGGAGCTAGCAGCCTTGTTCGGAACAAGCCACGTATTTGCTGACTTCGCCCCGCTCTTTGCTTTTCTGCTTGTGAGGGTCACAAGCTGGAGGAGCACGCCCCATACCCAGAGCTGCTCGTGGCAGCAGCTGTCTGTGGCTACTCTCGTTCCTCTGGCTCTTGGTTTTGCTGGTGGCCTTGCAGTGGATGAGTCTGTCTTCTGTGGGGCTGTACCATGTCCCCCAGCATAGGAGAGATCTTCATCAGACTCAATGAGCTCTGTAGAGCTAAAAAGGGGTTTGGAAAAACATCAGGTTACTCTGGGAAAGCAGAGATGAATAGAACCAGAGCACTTTCTGAAGCTGCTTTTCTCTCTTTCTTTCTCTCTTTCTCTCTCTCTTTTTTTTTTTTTTTTTTTTTTTTTTTTTTTTTTTTTTTTTTTTTTTTTTTTTTTTTTTTCTTTTTTTCTTTTTTTCTTTCCCCTTCCCTCTCCCTCTAACCCTTCTATTGTTAAGTTTATTTGACTGGGGGCAGAGATTACATTTAATTTTATTTCATGTTCATGCTGTTCTGGCTGGGAAGTTGCAATCAGATCCTTATCAGGCTCCTTTAACTGCCTCTCTGCCAGGGCTTGGCATGTGGCATATAAAGCCTGTCCCTGTAGCTGTGTCAGACGTCCCACTCCATATAAAGCAAGCTGGCTCTTTCCCACAGCCCTTAAATATTCTTCTTGGGCAGTTATTTGTGCAAGTGGAAATTAATCACTCAGATGTCCTTGGAAAGCGAATGCAAGAAGGAGCTGGAGCATGGCCGAAATTGCCATTTAAATTCTTTTAAATTGAAGAATCTACTGGCAGATAATATTTTGAAATATTTGTCCTTCTTTAATGGTACTGCATATGAAAGTCCATCAAGTAGAGCAAGAAGCAATTTCTGGCTGGCAAACGATAAGTTCTGGTATTTCAATTGCGTTTCAAGTTGTATTTCACTGAAATGCACAGTCATTGCACAAATAATAGCTCTATGGAAATGTCATTAAAAGATTTTTTTATGTCTTTTAAACAGTCATATTTAGGGAAATTTTAAGAAAATCAAGTCATCTTTAGCCAGATTTTGCATAGACTAAGCTATTTTTTTTTTTTTTTTTCCTGTTAGTGTTCTGTTTCTATGTTTATGGATTATTTTAGTTTTTTTCTTAAACATTTGTTGATGTGAAATCATGCATGGCCGCTTTACTTGCCTGGAGCGGTGTGACACCCATAGGGGCTGTGCTGGCTGCTTCAGGAGCTTCCTTTGGGGGTTTCAAGGGAATGTTCCTCAAATGAGGGGATCCAAAAGCTGCTGGGGAGGGCTTCAAGGCAGCTAAATGCCTTGTAAGAAACATCTACTGTGCATCTCTTCCTCTGTGAAACATAAAAGCGTGCAAAGATGTGTTACACTGATACTGCTCTGTGATTTTTTTCAGCTCTATGGCTATTGTTACCAAGATAGCAACGACATCCCAGACACACTGACAGCCATCACCGAACTAGGCTCACCTTTAGAGATGATTCAGCTTTTACAGACTTCCTGGGAAGATAGATTTCGAGTAAGTATCAACTGTTTAAAAGGGACGTGCAAGAGAGCAATGAACACAAAAACAACATGATGTGTGAAACTTAAGTTATGTACAGAGTGGTATAATTCACGTTTATTCAGCATTTGCTTTGCTTGTGATTGCATCTTGGTTTACATGCAGAATTTAATGCTCCTTTTCTGCAGTGTTTAATATGCTGTGCTGTTTTGTCTGTCAATGTTATCTAATTGTAGCTGGCTTGTATGCTTTTACATTGTATCTGCAAAAGTTTCTTACTTGTTAAAGCTCGAAGCTCAGAGTTCTTGGCATTGAGCGTTCCGCTCCACAACTGGAATTTAAACAATAGAAGGATGTTACTTTTCTATCCTGATCATTATCCTAGGTTGATTTTATAATTGTTTTCTTCCACTTCCTCTTCTGCTTGTCTTTTATGGGGGGAGAGTGAAAGCAGTGTACACAAATCTGAAAGGCGGCTTGTCCACTGCACTGGCAATTTACCAGGAGCACGAAGGTCACACTTAATTTGTCCAAAATGAAGCCAGACTGCAGCAATGCTTTGATCAAGACAGCGCTGTCTCAGTCAGTGTACACTGGGCTGTCTAGTCGACTGAGGTTAACTCCCCAAGACATTTCAAGGCAGCAATAGTTTTCATCTAAAACACTTTGGGCTGTATGGCTCCATCTGTATGGGAGAATTAAAGTGCCCTTGACTAAGCTGGGTGACTGCGGTATGCTACAGCCTACGTCTATACTGTTACAGTTGGTGCTCTCAAGGCTGGGTGGCTGTGTGCAAGATGTCTATCAGGTAGGGGCCTATGGCAGTGCTGCCTTCTGAGTTGTGTTTGGGAACAATGAGGGAGCTCAACTTCAGCTCCCTTCTCCTGGGAGAAATATGTCTATAATAAACAGAGGTGCTTGTCACAGCTCCATAACAGTAGAAGCAAGTCTTTGTCTCATCTCATCCAAAAACAGACTGTGATGGCATCTGAGTACCCAGTCAATTGCCAAGAGATATGTTAGATGATTGGTAACGAACTGGGAAGTTTCCCGTTGTATGGATATTTCTGAGCGAGCATTTAGAAAGGGAGGTAAAGGAGAGTTGTCTTAGACAAGCTACCAAGCATGAAATTATCTAGGACTCAACTAGCACAGAAAAGAAAGAGGAAATAAAATCATATATCGATATGTAAGACATTCAAGAAACATGCAGGTGCGGCAACTGGGGGTCACAGGTTAGTAGGTGTAGGGGTGGTGAGTTGATGGTTGGACTAGATGTTCTTATTGGTCTTCTCCAGCCTCAGTTATTCTATGATATTTTGCTGACCCAGTCCTGAAAAGGTCTAAATAAATGGCTTGGCTGTTCTTACAAATAATTTCTTGGTGTTGGTCTGTGAAGCAAGCTTCCTCCCCAGGGCAACACTGCTCCAGTCAGCAGAGTGTGATGCAGAGCAAAGCCTTCACTGTTGTACTTAAGGCTTTTGTTGTGCATGGGTTTTCACAACCCAGACTCATAGTAGGTATGTGGGGTATCAGTCCATAGGGGCTCAGAAAGGTTGCCAGTGCAGGAGCAGCATCTTTAGGGTTCGAGAAAAGGCAGTATCAGATGATATCAGATGACAACCTGTATTTTTATCCAAACTAAATTCTGGGTTTGTTGACAATTGAAGATAAGTGTATTATAGGTTGGTTTTGGCTAATACTATGTATTTCAGGATAGTGCGTGAAGGAATTTGTTATACTTTCAGAGGGAGGAAAGGAAGGTCAGCTCTGGCATCCCGTCACTGTGCCTGTATTCATTCACAGGACAGCCATCACTGTGTAAACTTTGGTATCACTTAAGTAGGATAAACGTTCTAGCCCAGTCAAGCAAGGAGGTGATTATAGAAGTGGGGGATAGTCCTAATGTCGCACAGACATGTGGTCTGTGAAGTATAGCTCCAGACATGCTCAGCCTCTGCTTTTTCATGAAGTGCGTGTTTAGGTGTTCCCCTGGGCAAAATTGTTTATGCCCTGAGATCGAATTTTGATTTGACTACTTCAATATATGTGACATTAACAGTGTATGTTAACAGAAACCAAAATTATATATAAACAATAAAAACCTTGCTAGACTGGATAAGACCTGTTATTAGTTTAATATATAGGATAAAAATTCCAATATTTAATTGTGTTTATATTAATGCTATTTTTGCGTTAATTCAAAACAGTGCTTTAGGAAGGGGACTGAGTTCAGCTTTCGTTGAGTTTGCTGTCTAATAAGTTTCTGGAGTTTCCAGCAACTGAAAAGTACAGTGTCTGTGCAGAGCTTCCACCCCACCTTAAAGTGGCACATGGAGGTACACTGTGTACGCAGACTCCTTCTCAACTGGAGAAGAGAAACACAAGGGGAACCCTTATATATGTAATTGTAACAGCAGTCAAAAGGCATGATCAATACAGAAGCAGTGCAGATGCTGTCTGCAGTCTGAGCTTTGACTGTAGGAGGACAGCACTTGGGCCAAAATTCCTAACCTGGAGTTTGTACAGACCAGAAACATAGACTGCATAGTCAAGGCTTGTATGTAATGTGTTATTAAAAGTTAAGGCTTTTCATTTCTATGAAAGTAAGAATAGCAACAATGAGCCATGCTTCAAGAATAGTGTGGGAAAGCACTGGTAAAGAAGCTTATTTTTGTTTCAAGTCTCCAAGGGCTTTACAATCAACTATGTTAATCCTATGAAAAATACCTTTGTTGCAATATTTGGTGTTGAGGATAAGTTATAATGCCCATATTAAGTCATGTGTTTATGAATCTATCTTCAGCCAAAGTGGTTTCATTTTTATGGTCTGTGCTGAGAAAATAATGCTAGGTACCCATGTTTTTGTATTTCAGATATGTCTCAGCTTAGTTCGGCTTTTGCATTATTTGGCTCACTCTCCTCTTGGCTCTGTGACACTGCTGGATTTTCGCCCTCGACAGTTTGTGATTGTGGATGGGGAGCTGAAAGTGACGGATCTAGATGATGCCAGTATTGAGGAAAGCTCTTGCACCAGTAACAGTGACTGCTTTATGGAGTTCCCAGCACGAAACTTCACTCTGCCTTGTTCTGTTGAGGGACGGTGCCAAAACATGAATGAAAAGAGGAACCTCTACAATGCCTACAGGTACATGATCAGTCCTCTGTAAGGTAAAAGAGAATTAAAAGTGGACAAAAAGCCTGCAGCATCATTTAGAGCTATTCATGCCTATGAGTACATCTTGTCTCAGTTCTGTTATTCAAAAGCTATGAATAATTGTTTCATTTAGGAAAATACCATAACATAGCATTTGTAGCTGAGAATATTTTCCACGCTTTGAGTGTGATTCACCACTTAGTCTAATTTCACATTGGTTTAATTCCACTGAATTCTTCACACAAATAACGATTTTTATAATCGTACAGCAGCAGTGCTCACAGACATGAGGTCCCATTAACTCTGTAATGAGACAGTTCTCCCAGCACTTCTTTGGTGTAATGGTCACCACATGTTTCTTACCACCAGCTGAGGTGGTGGTGCCGTGACGTGGGGATGTGGAGGTGGCAGGTTCATGGCGAAACAGTCAGCTGTGGAGGGAAGCCACTGGCTGAAGCATCCATCTTCCTGTCCAGATATGAGGGTGGAGGAGCTCAAAGCAATGCCATAATGATGTGCTCATTTCTTAGACTTCCCTTTCAAATATCATGCCATTCACTCTTTGCCAGACCACAGTGAGGAGAGCTTCTCCAGGGAGTGTTGTCTGCTTTGGTCCTGGGGTGCTCACCAGCATGTGTGTTGCATTAACTGACCACACTGAAATGGGCTGTGCCACATGACAGCCATCTGCAGTTGTGCAGCATAGATTTTAGCGTGTCCTGCAAAATTTTCTGTTTCTGTTTGCTTGGCTTAAAGATCTTGTTAGGTAGCTAGCTTTAACTTAAGACCATTTTGCTGGTCTAGCTGAGAAACATTTAATAGGCATCCATTCACCTCAGGCTTAAATGAAGATGTGTCTGTGGTATACGGGGCTTGGGGCGGGTTGCTGGTCTCACTGAAGGAAGCAGTCATTTTTATTACAATACTTCCTCTGAACTGCACACTGGTGCGTAACACGCACTGTATCCCTGTGATTTCAGCCCCCAGTTTTGCTTCATGTGGTAGAGACAACTGTTCTTCATTTAACAGCAGACTGATGCTGCGGGAGGTTGCAACCATGCATGATGGACATGGCAACAAACTCTACGCACTTGTCTTAGAAGGCAAAATGTTCAGTTCATTAAGCGTACATTACTTAATTTCCTATTTTCACACTCTTGTTGTAGAATTAGAGATTAAAAGCAGTGTCTGTCAGTGCACAGCAAAGGGGTTTCTTGTGCTGTTGTTAGGTATTAGTCAAAAACAGTGGAATGACAAACAATGCATAAACCTCTTCAAATTTCGAAGTATAGTACGCCCCAACCTTGCAAACACAATTAGCCTATCTGCTTGGTTTCTTTATGAGGTAAATAATTAAAGGAGGAAAAACATTTTAAAAAAAAAAAGAAAGTCTAGTATGCAAGATTTTAAGCTCACAGAAGGAAGATTTAGGTTGGATATCAGGGGGAAATTCTTTACAGAGAGAGTGGTGAGGTGCTGGAACAGGCTGCCCAGAGAGGTTGTGGATGCCCTGTCCCTGGAGATGTTCAAGGCCAGGATTGGATAGGGCCCGGGGCAGTCTGCTCTAGTATTAGATATGGATGTTGGTGGCCCTGTCCTTGAGATTCCTTCCAATCCAAGCCATTCTATGATTTGTCCTGGTCCTGTGTTAGTTTTCAGATTATCTTCTACCATAAATCCATCTCTGTGGATTTTCTCCTGAATCTTTGAGGGACTAATTTTAGAAGCATTGAATAGTTTTGAATGTAAAGCTATTTAATACTTTGAACTATTGACCAATGGGTGAATTCTCCATCACTGGCAGTTAAGATCAGGTAGTTCACCAGTGTCTGTACATTTCAGAATTTCACATGTGGGTGTTTGCTTTAGGACAAGTTAGGTATTCATATAGCCATGGAATAACTATAAGCTCTGTGACTTGCATCTGTTGTGCATATAGGAAAGTAAATGGCAGCTACTGAGTTTTTGCAAAGAGCTATTCGCAATCAGTTGGACTCTGCTTATGGTTATTTTCTAAGCAGAAAAAATGAAGTAAAATTTACCAGATAAATTACTCAATACAAATGTTATTCCGCTCTTTAGATTTTTGTGTCTGTTTTCATTGGATGTTTCATGGCCACGGCTAGAAAAACCTACCTGGAGATAATCCCGCTTGTGAAAATCATAAATATTATTTTTGTAAGGGATTAGAAGGGAGTTAAAATCTCAAGGAAATATTCATTGTGTAAGTGGAATATGTCAACTCAATAATACCTGTGTCTGTGATCAATTTTTGCTATCAGTAACTCAATTTTTTAATTTGTGCTTATATAAGACATCTGCTAGTCTTGCTCCTGAGTATGACTCACTGTAGGTTTTTGTTTGACAATGTGGTCTCTGTATATGAAAAAACGTTTACTTTGCTTTGCAGGTTAGATGTAAAGCAGGGCAATTTCCCAATTGTGTTACTGTTCTGCTCATTACCTAATATTTATTCCCGATAGCTCTGTTTATGTTGTCAGATCCTGAACTGTCCATCTCTATCTTAGGTTGCTATGACACTGAGTTTACAGTGTTTAGTAATATTGGAAGAGAAATAGAAATTTAAAGGAACAATGTGAAATTCAGTATACTTCAAATGATGTTGAATAAAGGCATATTCTTCTCTCTTTTGTGATTAAAAATGATGAAATGAAGAGGATACATCCAAACATGGCAATCCACATGAATGCATCTTGATTTTAGATAAGTGATGAGAACAGAAAAGATGTTCTAAATTGTGGGATTGTTTAAACAATAGAAGAAGTTATTCTTCTCCCTGTTAATTTTAAAGTCTGGAAAAACTGTAGAAAATAAAGTAACAGCCAGTTCTATGAAATGAGCAGAAATCTGATTTATGCACTTCAAGCCTTGAAAAGCCCCTGAGACTTCTGAAGTTGATGGCATCCTCGCAGTTTGTCAACGACAGACAGCTTTGCTAAGAGTTGCATTCTGTGGGGCTTCACAGCACATTTCTGCATTAACGGAACATTTACACATAGTTACAAGGCAGCCTTGTATATAGCAGTGTGGTCTAGTTCTGCCAGGCAGCTATGTGAATAAGCACAGCTATATTTGACTGAAGAATACGATTTTATTTCCTGAATAGGTCAGTGGCTTACAAGCAATAGGAATTTCATTCCTTATGTTATTCCGTAGTTATCCTATGTTTGTAGTTTCTTTTATTTTTCAACATGGATTACTTTTCCTTTCCAGGTTTTTTTTCACATACCTTCTGCCACACAGCGCGCCGCCCTCACTGAGACCATTACTGGATAAGATAGTCAACGCCACAGGTAATCACACTGGATGTGGTAATGCCAGGCTTTTCTTTTTTTGGTGTGACTATCACATGAGGGGATGCTGCTTTCGTATTTGCTGCAAGGAAACTGGATTGTTTTTCTACTCAGGATAAATTTCACCCTGTACAGAAAGGGTAAAAAGGGCCCTGTATACCAGATAAATCCCACTGCGAGATATTAACTATGCTTGACAGAGGTCTGTGCTTCTTCCTGACATGTCTGCGCAGTGGTGAATTGCATGAATGCAGTTTCTATGTTTATCCCAAGGAGCAATCTAGAGAAAAACATCATGGCAAGAGGTTGTGCTGCCTCCTGTAGAGTGTGGTCCTTGTTGCAGAGCTCCTTGTGGTGCCTGGAGAGTCCCTGCCTTTAGCAGGGGGATCTGTAACTACCAATAGGATGCTTACTTGCCTGTTGCCAGTGGTAATGCTGGTGCTTTTATACCTCAGGAGCCAGAGGCAAGTGTAATTACAATAGGCCTTTACTAATGGCCAAGGTAGTGCCTCTGGGACAGGAGCAGCTGTGTGCACCACAGTTCTCTTTTGAGAGCTTTTGGACCTAGGTCTAGGGTCTTTGTGTCTTGCGCTATATTGTGTTCCATTGGGAACTGAATGATGCCAGCCTACTAACAAGCAAATTCTTTGGAGTTCCCTGCATTGGCTGATGTTCATCCCATCTGGGGAGCTCAGTGCAGTGTTTTCTGCTCATGGGCCTTGGCTTCCCAAGTGGATGAGTCAGCATTTGACACGCCTTGCTCACATCCGATAAGAAATATGATTCATGGTCACTTTGTAGTAGCTGATGGACTCCGTGTCCACATCACAGCACTGTCATGGAGCAGCCTCTCTTTGAATGCTGCCTTTCTTTAGTTCTGTGAAGGTTGCTTCTCATCTGAATCATGCTTTTTCTATGCTTTTAAAGGAGAGCTTCATTGGGGGATAGATGAAACAGCTGCTCAACTAGAAAGAGTTTTGAATCTGTATAAGAGTGGAGAGTACCTGCAGAACACTACCCGGATATCGAAGTCTGGTAAAGTATTCTTTCTTGAACCTTAAGATTAAAGATTCTGCTTTGGCTGGTACTTGAGGTTTGAAAGAGGAAATGTCTAGAAAACAGAGACCTTACAAGCTGTTGAAGTCATGCATACAATAATCAGTTGTCTACTTTTTGCTTCCTGGGTACCTTCTGCAGCTGAGTGTAGTGGTTGGGCTTGCAAAGAGATGAGCAGGCTGCAGTGGTAAAAGGAAGCCCAGCATAGCCTGGCTCTCCTAGAGGGTCTGTGGAAAATGTGTTTAATCACATACACACACTTCTTTGCTGTTGGAGCAATAGAACTTGCCCAGACACCAAGACTGATATGGAAATCCCATAAAGATACCCTAGCTCTCTGAGGATTTTCTGAGGCTCATAGGAGTTTCAGAGAATCATAGAATCGTTGGAGTTGGAAGTGACCTTTAAAAGGTTACATAGTCCAGCTCCTATGCATTGAACATGGACACCTACAGCTTCATCAGGTTGCTCAGAGCCCCCCCAAGCCTGACCATGAGTGTCTCTGGGGTCAGGGCATCTACCACCTCTGTAGCCAACCTGTGCTAGTGTTTCCCTACTGTAATTTTTTTTTTTTTTTTCTATTTGCAATCTAATTCTCCTCTCTTTTAGTTTGAAACCATTTCCCCTTGTCCAGTCAGAACAGACCCTGCTAAAGAATCTGTCTCCTTTCTTACAGCCCCCTTTTAGAGACCAAAAGGCTGCTATTAGGTCTTCTGGAGCCTTCACCGCAGTTCTCAGACTGTCTTTGTAAGGGAAGAATTCAATTTCTTGGATCAATGTTGTGACCCCTCCTCTGGATGCTTTCTAACATGTCCACCTATCAATTCTATCTCTTTCCAATTTGGATAGGAGGATGTTGTGGAGGATCATGTCAAAGGCCTTACTGAAGTCCAGATTGATGATGTCAGTGGCTCTTCCCTTGTCCACTGATGAAATTACACCCCCATAGATGGCCATTAGGTTGGTCAGACAAAAGTTTCTCACAACTTAACCAAGACAGCAAGACAAAACTTGCATCTTCCTTTACAAGAAAAGAAGTGTTATTAGCAGTCAAAAAAAAAAAAAGAAAAAGGGAAAAAATGGCAACATCAAAATGAGGCTGCACATAGCATCTTTCTGTTTTGTGTGAGATCTCTGCAGCACTGCGGACGTGTAAAATGCTATTTAAGCAGCTGTGATGTGGAAGGATGCATATTCTTCCGGGAAGGATAGGTTGTGGAATTGTGCATGTCAAAGAAGATTATGTATGATGGAAATTCCTGTTAAGCCTAACAATTGAAAAAGCTGTTTTACAAATTATTTTTGTGTATGTACAATGTTCATGTCAAACTGTCAGCATAATTGACTGCAAGTTGATAGGAAAATTACAGTTTTGCTGCAAAAAAGCACAGTAAAAAAGAAAAGATGGGTTCTAAATGAAGATGAATGATGGCACAGAGGGTTTTAAAAGTTCAGTGAAGCATTTTCTCTGAGAGAGAGACACAGGAGCCAAATTCAATCCTGTCATAGCGCTGTTAACCTCAGAGGGCCATGACACCAGGGATGAATTTGACCCACTTATCAGAATAATTCAATATTTATTTTGTTGTAAAATTGGCAGGAAAATTGTTGCAGGTGTTCATTTAACTTTCTAATTTTCGGCTTTTCATCACAGTCTGTGCTGAGTGATGCCTGTCAACACAGCAAAATTATTTTCAGCAGTACAATCGATAGTACAAACACGTCCTTTGTTGAAGAAGTGCCAGGAGGGCTGGAGTTTTTCTGTGTTGCTGGTTGATTCCAGGTTTAACTGCTGTATCAGGACAATATGAAGCTTTGAATTTTAGAGGTCTGTCATGTTTATAAAGCATCTCAGGGAAGAAAGCTTAGGACGGTAGTAGTAAATGTGACAGTGCAAGTTTCTACTAATACGGAGCAGTGCTCCATGTATATTTGGCTCCTGTAGTAATTACACATTTTTGTGTCAGTTTAATTCCATGGAGTTCTGGATAATATAACACAGAATCTGTCCTTTTTCATAGCTAGTAATACCCTTTGATGGAAGAAACCCCTTTTACTTTTAGGATGCTTCTCATGGACTTGAGAGAGCTGCTCTGCAGCTTGAGCAAAGATGTTGAAAATTGGTAGACGTATGTGTATTGTATTTGACCAATCTAAAAGGGTACTAAATTAAAGATTAGGAGAGTAATACTGAATTCCCTGACATGAAAAAGATCTCAACCAATGGCAAGCCTGAGAAATCAGATATCGTGATGGAAATTACATTTAGATGAGATATGTTTTCAGACTTAGCTGCCATGTCTTTAAGATGTGCAGGCCTGTTTCTTGTTTGTTCTAAGGCTACTTTAACCAAACAGAAAAAGGGTTGTAATTTATTTCTATTTTAAGGCTCCTTTTGCTTGCCAGAAAAGCATGAAGTCATATTATGAGGGTAAAATACCCCTCCCTACCTGCTTATTTCTATCACTTTTATCCAAAGCACATTCTATCCTCCACTAATATTGGACTTGTAATACCATGCTAGAATTCATAGCAGTTCCTTCAATTAATATTCTCAGTCCATAGATTATTCAATAAATGAGAAATTCTTCTGTCGTGCAGTAATACTGGAAAGAACTAGTGTCTGAGTGGTCATCCTCTTGCTGCTGGAAGACATTCCCAACTGAGCTAGCTTCTTGACCAGCAAAACCAGGGCTGAGCAGCTGAACAGGTCAAATGTTTTCTTGGCAGTAGAAGGGGAGTATGAAAGGAACAGCCATGATTGTTTCCCCTGCTGTCAGCTGAGGTCATGCTTTAGCTTTGTTCGGGAGTTAGGAGGACCCTTCATTATTCTCTGAAATCAAAGCAAATTATTTAGGTGAGATTATAGGATTTTTTAAAACCTTTTTTATCTTGCTCTGTAACACAATGAAAGTTCAGGGAGTGTGTCTTCCAATCCAGTGTCAGCTTAAGATAAAACTAGATTGTGGTTTGGTTCTGAGGCCAGACTGAAGTTAATCGAAGCTTATCTTTGTACACCAGTGTGCCAGGCCTTGCAGACACAAGTTCACATCAGTTTTGTTTTGGACAATGAACATCTCAGGGTGACTGGCTCTGAAGGTTTTCACTCTTCCAAGTAGATAAAATGACAAAAAATACTGTCTCAGTCTCTCTGGCAATGAAGAGTTTTGACAAAGGAAGGCCTTTTCCTGGTAGATGATCTTTGCTGAAATCTTAGAGGAGAGTTCAAACCCAATAATTGCAAGATTTTGTTTTGTTCGAAAGAGAAAACATTGAAGATTTAAGTAATGGTGCTTCAGAATTTGTTTTAGGTCTACATTTTTTGAATTATCCATTGTCTTGGATAGAGCATTGTAAATTCTTAGTAGGAAGGAGGAGATCATGATCTTGGGCAAATGATCTAAGGCTGTAACTAAAACGTAAACTTTTAGAAAGCAGTCTGTTATCTATCTGAACCTATGTTTTTGAAAGGAAGCCCTCCTCCTATGAACAACGTGAAGTGAGAAAGGTGATATTGATAATCGGCAGGGAAGTGACATGAGGAAAGCTCCTGTCAGCTCTAGTGTTCCCATAAAGAAAGTTTAACAAGATGACATGGTCATATTACAGAAGGTCGTGGATATTAAGCTTTCACTGTGCTTCAGTTGTAAAACATTTTATAGTGCTGTAAATTATATTGTGCTCTGGACTTTGCTTTAGTATCTAAGAAACAGAGTGGAGGTGCAGGAGACATTCAATAGCTTCATATGTGTTCTGTAATCATAAATCACACTACTGTTAATGTTGTTACAGGAACATTGCAGTGTTTAAAACAACACTGAGCAAATATTTTATATTCTGTGGACTGTTGGTCTCTTTTGCTGGAATCCAGAAGAATGAATTAATCCAGAAACCATGCATTTCCTCTGGCATATGTCATCTAAAGCGATTATCAAGATTAAGAAATAAGAAATCTGCTGACGCTCATCAGTGACATCCTGCCTCAGTATCAAAATTTGTATTATTTCAATCTAGTGATGTTGATTCATAGCAACTGAGCGCCTGGATGTCAAGCTAAGCCTCAGCCTTTCAGTTAGCTCAGAATTTACTCAGAAATGCATGAAATCAGCTAACACTAGTAAATCCGATAGCTTTGTTATTCATTAAAGCTAATGGATGACCCATTATTAGGCCTAAGGGTGTGCAAGCCTACAGAAAGGTGTAATAAACTTCTGTTGTTAGTTGAAAGTATGGTCACAACGCTAAAAAAAGGCTGGAAGGCTGGACATTAAGCAAAGACACTTTGTGTTTTCCTTTGTCTTAAGACAATTTGGCAGGGTTATGCTGTATGTAAACATTTACAGTACAACAGTGTTTTGAAAAAATATTCTGCAGGCTCACTATAGCAACCTGCTTAGGAAATTGTAAATCTATCCAAGAATTATTGGAGTTGAGTAGGGTGTGTGTGTTTGCACACATGTGCATGTGTGAGGGGAACTTTTGCAAGGTCGCTGTGATACAGTTGGAGGCCGTTTGCCTGTCTTACTGCAGGCCAAAATGCCCAGGTAGGAAGGGTCTGGTGAAGGCACTTGCAGGCCCAGCTGGGAATAAGCCACAGTCCTTGCAGCCTGGATTCTTGCTTTATCTCGCACTTGTGCATTTTGCCTTTTGTTCCCAGGGATGTGAAAGCTGCTTAGTGGTGGGCTGAGAGGTAAAGGTGTGCAGGCAGAGTCTACTCAGTGCTGCCTTTGCTATTTCATGGGCAGCCCAGTACTTATCTTTGAGCCCCAGTACCCTGTCCTGCTGTGTGATGTTAATGAGAATAAAATATCACTGAATCTATCGTTCTCCATGTTTATTTGTGCTGCAGGGACAGCAGGCTTGCCAGTTTAAATACAGCTCTGTTGTGAGCACAATAGCATGTGGAAAGAGGTAGGATTTGCTTGCAGCCCTTTGTGCGTGAATCAGCCAAAGGACGAAAGTGCACACCAGAGAAGCAGTGCTGTCTCCTGTTCTTGCAGCAAATCCACGTTCTGGCAGCCATTCCTGTCCTTCCAAACAGTGAGGTTTGTCAGAAACAATTAAAAACAGAAACACAGAAGATATACCTAGCAAGTTGTTTTCTCTGATGCACCAAAAATGGCTTTCCTTAGCACACTGTGCATAAGGCTTCTTGTTGGAAGAACCTTTAAATATGAGATATTGAGACATAAGGAAATTTTAAGCAGAAAATGAAATGTGCTGATAAGCATAAGTATGTTATTACCTATTTAAGATTGAATTCTGTGCTTCTTAATCTCCCTGGGAATCGGCAGGACTGTATAGCAAAATACCACTCAGTACTGCGTTTACTGAGATGATTGGCAAGATGAGGCTCTTTCTACTTACTTGTAAGCAAAGCAATTAAAAGAAAATCCAGATTTGGCTGAAAGAGTGCCTTTTTTTTTTTTTTTTTTTTTTCTTTTCTTTCCATAGAGGAGGAACAGGGGAAGGAGGAAAAGGAGTAATGTGATTTCTTTTCAAGGATGAACATTACTGCATTGGTGTCATTGACCCGCTCTGTACTGGCAGGTGATAACTACAAAACTGGGCACGTTTCCAACGGGTAGCTGTAGCTGGTTGTAAAAGTGCAATCTGGCTGCTGTGGCTGAAATAAACGGTCATTAGGACTGATTAAAGTCAGATTTTGGGTGACTCAAACAACCTAAAGGGGGGAAACCACAGGCTGTTTCACATAGTTTACAGTATACTTGTGGAGTTTTTTATATGACTCAGTCTAGTATAGTGAAAATGAGTATGTTTATTGATTATAGTTGACTATGGGACAGCACAGGTGATTTTTGATGGCAAGATTTTAGAATGAGATTTTAAAGTGCTGGCTTTCTTTTAGAGCTCTTGCACTGGTCAGCGAGGTTGCAGTTTGTTGAAATGCATACAAGGCATGTGCTTTGAAAATCACTTGTTGTGAGGACTGGCTATTGCTGTAAGAAAATCTTCAGAAGATTTTGAACACATTAAAACAGCATGTTTTGATCATCTGGAACAAACTTCTGAAAGTTTTTTAAAACAACTTCTAAAAAGATTTTAAAACTATTAAAAGCGTTGCAAAACAAAACTTTTGAGAGCTGCCCAGACTCAGCGTAGCAAGATATTCTGAAATTTCAAAATATTTACATGGCAGGAAAAATGTTTCCTGGTGAGATTTATTTGTGTAGCTGTGAGCAGCGAATCAGCTCCCGCGTGTTAAGCTGGAATAAGTCTGCTGTAAGTGACATCAAGATCAAGCTTACTGCATTATATTTATTTGCTACAGCCCTCACAACATTAGTAGATGAGAAGAAGGCTTCTTTTTCCGCTGCAGTAGTGGTAGGAGCACCTTGAAAATCTCTTATCTATTCCTTGCCATTGCCTTGATAGACTTCATATACTCTATGTCAAACTATGTGTATGTACGCAAAAGTGTAAATTTATGGCTGCATTTATAGTATTAGGCAAGTATTTATTGGTTTTAAACACCATCAGTCTGGAAATCGACCAGAACTTTGACCTTTTTATGATGTGATTTACTGCTGTGAGCCTTCAAATTCCATGGACTCCATTTAAGCAAGTTTCAGGTCTTGGCAGGACAAACATCTGAGCTAGAGCTGCCCCTAACCCGGTGGAGAATTTCTAAATTGAGCAAGTAACTGTGCTGGGGTGACCAGGATGATCATTTAAAGGTGTGGAAAAACCATTGCTGGGTTTGGTAGACTTGCCTTGTGTCCATAACACAAGACAAATGCTATGGCATTTTTGTGTTGATATGTATTGCAGGGCACATCACAAAGGCTCTACTGAATTTTGAAAATGAGAAATGAAGGGCTGAAATGGTTTGGATGTGGAAGGCATTGTGCTGTGATAGCCCAGGAAAGCTTTGTTCTGTTTGCAGTTTATTAAGCAGGTTTTATCTAAGAGAGGAACCAGCCCTTTAAACTGAAGCAAGGAGTACTGATGTTTGGGTTCCTTATGCATTTAAGTCTCTCCTGCACATGAGCATTTCTCTGACTTGCATCTGGGTGTGAATGAGGAACTGGTTGCAGTGAGGTTTCTTTCCTGCTGGCTGAGGCTGATAGGGAGCAAGGAGCAGCAGGAGGCTCCAATCATGGCCGGGAGCATCCATCAGGAGGGCCCTTCCAGTGACTCCTTTTGAGAAGAGTGTAATTCTTCTCAACTCATGCAAATTCAGGCTCAGGATCAGCTCCCTAATTTGTGACTGTGTAAACAAGGGATTCCAGGAATGTTTGCCTTTGCTGTTCGAAGAGTGAAGGCAGCTACCTTGCCCTACTCAAGACGACGTGATTTTTGGATAAAATTCCAGTTTCCTCAGACCAGTGCTTGGTTGGCATTGCAGTGAGTTTCAGATTTTTTCTATTCTTTATCTCTGAGGAAATCCTGTGCTGGTTTCCCAACATGGCAGGAGCACCTGGCTGGTTTGGAATGACCCCATGCCCTTGCCTGTCCCAGTTCCCTGGGGATCATGCTGTATCCCCCTTGGCCACTCAGGTACTGCACCCTAAGTACCAGCTTGAAAGCTGCATCCCCTCCTGCCCCATGAGCCAGGACCCCACTTTGACCATCACCGCTGTTGCTGGCCCACCTCTGTCAATTCACATTTCCAAACTGCCCAAATGATTCACCAGGCTCCATGTTTTTACATCTCACTTGCATGCATCGTTTTCCTTGCCTCGGCTGCCAGGCGCTGATCAATATTCAAGAGCTACTATACGGAGATAAGGGGATATTACTCACTTAGGTGCAATTATGTTCTCACAGAGAGAAAAAAAAAGACTTTACCTATCCACTCAGTAGCAGTTTGATTTAAGCTACGACCTCTTCAGAAAGAGTGTATATATATTTTCGGTGGTGAAATGAATGTTTCTAATGTAAAACTAATTTTTTTCATGCTTAGTCTTTTACTCTTCTTCATGAGTGCTAGTCTGCATTTCCTAAATTAACATAAGGGATTTTTGCCTTTGATGTGAGTGGGACATGATCAGCTCTGATGTTTCTTCCTGTTTGTGAGTGTCTTGCAGTAATTTTAATGAGACAGGCTTAAAAAAGAGTGTGTATTTACTGCATTTGTTTCCTGCTGTTTCAGACTATGCGGTGTGAATGAGCGCTTGGGTGTGCAATTCTTTTCCTGATTGAAATACTGGCAGTTTAGACTAGAGGCAAGTGTGTCTGCTGGCTTGGCGATGTTTGTAAAATATGCTGTCTGTAATAGTGGTGGGCTGAATCTGCCATGTCAGGAAGAAAATGCCTGAACCAGAGTGACTTAAGAATAGGCTGTGTGTCAGGACAGGCAGCTCTGGTTTCCATAATAGATACAATTAGAAGAAATATAGAATGTATTTATTTTTTGAATAGGATGTGGGAGGGGAAGCGACAGGAGAGGAACCATCTGTTTGTGTGTCTGGAAGCTAAATAGAGATGTTTATAAATGATTAGTTTAATTTGCTGGCGCATTCATTAGCAAAACTCCCATAAGCGGCTGGGAAAGCAAGAGGAGCTGTGAACAGAGAACAAGGGGAGCTCATAAAGGCAAGGGAGACTGAACGGCAGCCAAGGGGACGAGCAGCACACTGGGCAGTGTGGAGCCCAGGGCAGCCGTTGGGCGCCCTTATGCTTTTTTTTCCTCCTTCTCCTCGAGGCCCAACGAGCAACTCCCCTTTTGTGCTCATCTGAGTGAGCAAAACAAAGAAGTTTGCTTAATTAAAAGGCTGTCTTTTCTTCTCCCTGTATAGGGGCTGGAGGAAAATGGCGTGCCACTGGGAGAGTGAGGGAGGGCTGGAGCTCCTGGTGGGCTCCCCTGGCAGCCATGCTCCCTGGGAAGTGGGACAGTCAGCCAGGTCATTTGAGTGGAGATGTTGGTTCAGTAGAACGTTCTTCCCCTAAAATCCCAGTAAATCCAAAGCCTTGCCTGCACACTGGGGAGGGGGAAAGTATTTTGTACACAGACTGTTTATTTACAGGCGTTTTCTGAAAGAAAAAGGGTGAGGAGAAAGGAAGGAAGGAACAGGAAAGTAAGGTGCAGAGCTATAAACGCCTTTGGGAGTGAAACAGGACTGGTACAGTCACCTTTTTTTTTTTTTGTTTGTTTGTTTTGTTTTCCATATATTCCTCTCCTAATCCGTTGAAATAAACCTTGCCTGCTAACAACAAGCAGTTTGCCAGACCTTTCAAAACAATTGTTTTGCTGTGGTTATTTGCAGAGTACCATCGGGTGCCTGAAGCCTTTATTCCTGATGAGAACTACAGATGCTGGCCATCTTACCATCACAAGGGCTGCCTCCTCTCTGTGTTTGACGTTAGTGAAGCCATCGAGATTTGTGACAGCTACTCCCAGTGCAAAGCTTTCGTCCTGACCAACCAGACGACTTGGACAGGTAGGTCGTGGGTGCTGCTGAAGGGGACACCAGCGTTTCATTTTAGACAAAACATTTGCAGAGGTGGCAAGAGAAGTCTGACACCAGTTTCTGTGGTTAGATGTGCAGGCCGTGGCCCAATGTGTGGATTTTCATGCAACTTTCCAAGCCATGTGGTTGCTGCAGTTTGACATGAAACCAGACAGGTTCTTCCATGCATCTAGCTGGGACTTCCTGTCTGATGTGAGGAATGTTTTGCTGCTGGTGTGCTTCTGCCAGCAGGGCTTGGCTGAAGGACGGTGAGGAGAGAGGGTTTCAACCAGTTAGAAGTGGATGGCCAGATGCATTTCATCTGGGAAATTTTTTTTTCTAAGGGAAAAAAACATTTGCTACCACAGCTCATTTTCTTTACCAGAATATGCCTCTTGAAAAGATAAATACAGTTCCCCAGAGGTTTGCGGGCCTGGCAGTCTCAGTGTGGTTCCCCTGCAGGCAAGTGGTCTGTGCTGATTAACATCAGTGGAGCGTTGCTCCTGGTTTCTCAAGCAGGCTGACAGTGATTCTGAGGAACTCCACAGCATGCTGAGAAATAAAAACGTTGCAAGTGTCTGCTAAAACCAGACATGATCATGCATTTAGTGTGGAGTGAACTGTACTGGTTGGTCTTCTTTTGTCTCCATTCCATGAGATAAGGCCCCACCGAAGTTCAGTGTGAGGTTTTCCTCCTGTAGTGACTGGTTCTGATGTGTGTGTCCTGTGGACTTTCCCAACCTGAGACTGCTGTGTGTTCTTCCCCCCTCACACATGGCTATTTTCTTGCTTGGGATTGCCAATTTCAGCAAAGGACAGCTTGTCTCCTCTGCTCCTGTCTTTGAGAGGAACGGTGGCTGATGCAAGCTAACCCTTGGGAAAGCTGATTTAAGGCCTTGCTCTACCACAGACTTCAGCATGGCAATTATTTAGGCTCTGAGGCTAAACTTTCTGTCTGTACAACTGTGATCACAGCATGCCTTAATGTCAAAATTTACCCTGTGTGCAAGTGGATGCTTTGGTTTTGCTTAGCAGAGCAAAATAAATACACACAAACCAGGCTTACATATGTGCCTGTTTCTTGGTGCAGACCTTCAGCTCTGAAAGTATCACAAATGAGGAGCATCTTCAGACATGTCAGGGTGTTTCTGGTAGTATAATGCTACAGCTGTCTGTATTTCTTGTGCTTATAAGAGATATAAGCAGAGACCTCCATGGAACGAGGAAAAGTTAGTTTACATTAAATTTGCCTGTGATTAAGCAAGTGACTGCTTGCTCATCATATGAGAATATCAGACTGTTAAAGTTAGCTAACATGCTAAAAAAATAATTCTAATGGGCTATGGGAGTTCCTAGGAAGTTTACAGCAGCCCCTGTCTCAGATTATAGAATTAACAGTGAACAAAATGCAGCAGCCATATTTCAAGTATTACATGAAATAGCACTTTGCTGTGCTGTCCCTGATGCGTGAGCGCTTGAATCCCTGCAGTCTGCAGCTTGAAAATTTGGTCAGGAGTTGAAACATCCCGTTTGTCATGTGATACTTTTATAGAACATAGTGTTATGGGAGCCCCCTAGAGAGGCAGGCTGGGAGTAAAGAGCACTCGGTGTTCTGAATTTTAGAGAGCGAAGATGGAAGTTCGGTATTGCTGGAGAATTTCTGCAGCCTCTGCTTCAAAGAGAGGCAGTTGCTGAGTCCATGGGAGAGCAGAAACTTATCTGGAGACACAGATGTGAAAGTACAAGACCTGTCCTGCAGCACCCACATTTAGTGGTGAATGAAACCTGACTGAATTCAGCTGAATTTGGTGCCTTACGTTGCCCAGGGGGTTATCACTTGCTGGATTGTTTATTTATTTATGGTATAAAGAATAAAAGTGTTGCCCCAGCATTTATAAAGCCCAGAGCTACAAAGTGATCAGCAAGAGCTGTTTTAGTGAAGGTTACATTTGATGTATACTGTGCTGATCAGTGTTACAAAGATTCAAGCATGCAAAGCTGATACCTGTCCTGTGTAGTCAAATGACTTTCCTTCATTGAAGCAAGTTCATTTATATCAGTGGGAGAGACTTGAAGCCTTCCCTTTTAAAAAATTATGTTACATTTATATTAAACCTTCAGACCTCTCCCTCATTTACCTTGTCAACTGTATTCAGCTGTGTCTTGACCATAATTGTGTAAATGTACAGAAAGCAGGGAAGATTTAATACAACTTCAAATGAAAGCATTACAGCTTACAGTTAAAGTTAAGAAAGACCTCAGTGTTGAATTGCCTGAAGAATGCATTGGTTGATAGTGAATACAAAATGTCATTACTGTAAAGCAGGCAACCTTTTGCTCATCGTTTCTAATTACCTTTCTTCCCTTTCTCCTCCCTTTCCTACTCTGTGTAGGTCGGCAGCTTGTCTTCTTCAAGGCGGCTTCAAATCATATCATGCCTGATCCTGACAAGATAACATATGTGAAAGTGACAGACTGACAGCTGAAGTGGCTCAGTCTGACGTGTGAGTGACCAGAGCTGTTTGTCTATAAATATAGGCAGCTGTTATGTATAGGATAGCTGTGTCCGAAGAGATAATTGCACTATTACTCATTCTAATCTATAGAGTGCTAAACAAAACTTTTAAGAAGTAACCTTCATGACCAGGATGAATGTGCAATAAGACAACATTTTGAAAATGTGATTTTAAAATGAAGCAAAATACAAAATACGATACACTGTTGGGATGTAATTTTGGATATAAATCAACTGGCAGCTCTAACTTTTCTAACCAAGGTTAGTGTAACTTTTCTGACCTGTGCGTGTGTGTACAGGGGCAGAAGTTGATTATTTCTATGAGAAGTCTGTATCTTCTACGTTGATATTTATTTGAGCTTGTACAATCACAACAGAGTAACTGAAGCATGTGAATTTGTAAGCTAAATATCAAACATTGCTGAAGACAATCAGCATTCATGTTAAAGCTATCGAATATGCAATAGCAACATGTTTGTCAAAATGAAAGAATTGATTATGCTTAGAATTGCAAGACTGTAGCTAATTTTCATTTTCGCTTCCAATGTTATCACAAAGGTTCAATTTTTTTTTTAATTTAAAAGAGCCATTTTGTAGGCCTAGCAAATCACATAAGCATTTGAATGGTTCCCCTGAAAGGCAGGGGCTTACCCAAGTGCTGAATGCATTGCTGAATAGGGATAGGCCTAAGCATATGCTTACAATTAAGCCTGTGCTTAAGACTTTCGTTGAATCAAGTTTGAATTGTTCATGAAGTCACATCTTTGACAAACTGGCAAAGCAATCTATCTGGTGGAACAGGACTATTTTATGGAATATCTTGCAGTTATTCATATTTTTATCATCAAATCCATGGTTTTCTAAGGCACCGCTTGCTAATTCTTAGAGTGAATGAAGTAAATGACCTTAATAATGGTAATTGAATGCTAGCCTTAATTCTATATAAAATGCTTTTTATAGGCATGGTGTGTCTAGAGAATTTGCTTTCAGTGAAAGCAATGAAGTAAATGCTAAAGTGACCAATGTCATACTGTTTTGTAGTTTGTACAGCCAGGGAAAAAAAAATGTGCATTTGTTTCTTAAATGGTTTATTTTTGTAATAAATAAAAGATAAATACAAGCTCTTTCTTACTTACTTTTCTTGTGTTGGAAATAAATGCCAGAATCCAGTGAGAGTTTAGTTATGGTGTACTGTAAGTCAAATTAAACCCAGGATGTTATTTCCAGGAAGGACTGATGTTGCTCCAGTGGCTTCCAGTGAGGGGTGCGTTTCAGGATTCAGGGGTGGCTTTTGTCTATGTGTTTGACTGTCACAAAACAGGTGACCATTAGAAGACAACACTTCATCAGCCTTTCTTTTTCTGAAGTTTGAGTCATGTCAGTACCATTTGTAGAAGGGGAGAGGAGGAGAATAGAACCTGAAGTAATTAGCTAGATGGTTGATTTTCTTGCTGGACATAGAGAGAAGGGTAGCAGGAGAGTAAGGAAGAGGGGCAGAAATTTTCACAGTCCAAGTGATTGCACAGAAGGGATGGTCAGATGGTGACACAGTTGGCAGCAGGTCTTGTCTCACCACGGTTCCTCTGAGGTCACCGATATCCTAGCGTCTTCTGGCAGTCCTCTGAAATGACATGCTGTAATGGTGGTAACTCACAGATTATCAAACTACCCGCCGCAATAGCTCAGCTGATTGTGTCTCAGTGCACTTAGAAACCCATCAATCACACTGTGGTAATAAACAAACACTACAGATTCTTTTAAAATTGCTACATAAATCATGCCAACACACACTGCACAGTTCATTGAAGTGATACGAGTTGTTGGCACTGAGGTGCTGGTATGTATGTGGAAAATGTTTAGCCTCCCGTGATTGCCTCTTCATTTAAGGTCTACACACCATTCCAAAAATACTCAGCATTTAAAAACAAAGTGAATGATTACATCCTTTAGCTGTGTTCCTAGATAAAAAATTGTCAACAGTTAAAAGAAAAAAAAGATATCTGGGGTAATTCTTTAATACTCTGGGCAGATACCTAAGGATAATTTCACTTCATCATTTTCTGCACGCCTGAAAAAAAACAAACAAACACCTCTGAAGTCAGAAATTGTTTATCTCTGGAATTAAACAAACTTGCCAAACCAATTTACATCAGTTTTTGCAAACAGAGATCAAGTAAGTAAGAAACAGCCATGAGCCAAGAAGCTGGATTCTAGATTACAGCAGTAATCAACTTTATATAGGCAGTTTTATAACTCTTTGAGGGTAAGGCTTTCCAATGGAAATCATGATTAAAATCTTAATAAGAGAGGCGTGATACTACAACAAGTGAGTTTAAAGAAGCACTGGTAAAAGCTTGAATTCATGGAGAGAAAGTGTCTTTGGCAGCTGTGGGTCTGATTCAGCAGTGCCTGACTGGCGCTTGTGGCATGGAAATCCCTGAGAAACCGCAGCAGAGGAGGAGGCAGAGCTCAAAGGGAGCTGGCAGGTCCGTTCCACTCAGCCAGGAGCCGTACTGTGTCTTCTGTGGAAAAAAGCATTTCTATTTCCTCCCTCCTTCTGCCCTTAACTTTTTGACTGCTTTTTACATTTCCTGGCATACTCAGGCCACGAGGTAGAAATATGAAAGAAGACACCCACACGGCTTTAAATGACTGATGTCTGTGTGCGTGCATGCACATGTGTGTATGTGTACACTTATTTATGTCTATGTCACACTGAACAGAGATTATTTACCTAGTGAAAAAGCAATTGGCTACGTACAAAATGAAGTGCTAAACAGGATGTTGAATTCATCTGGAGAAGTGAGAGCTCCGTGAAGTCGCAGCTCTCTGCGAGTCTGTGCTGAGCACTTGTTCCAACCTGGGGCTGCAGTGCCCTGCTCAGGCTGTGGCATAAAGTGCCTCCAAGGGCTGCCCATGCTCTTCCTGCCTGACTTATGGAGTGATGAATTTGTACCATTTGTACCACGGCTTACAGTAAGTGAATGCAACCTTCTGTTTATCCTAGATGAGCAAAGGAGTAGATGTGGTGGCTAGCATGTCAGCTCTAGACAATTATTTGGAAAGAGGTAGTTACCACGTGGGCTCTCTCTGCTGTGGGTATGGATTCCTACAGAGCTGTCCTGCTCTATTTCTCTCCCACACCTCTCTGCAACAGCAGATACTTGGTGATATATATGAGGTGTGCATTTCAGAGAGAATTAGAGAAGCAAAATATATACCTTTCTTACACTTTGACTGGTGGATGTGGAATGCTGACTGTTAATGTTTGTAAGGCCCCATGACTTCGTGCAGTCACTATTTCGAGTAAAGAAGACACACTTGTTGATAATAAGGTAGATGAGGCAAATGATTCAGAGGACTGCTTCTGAGAGCTCCCAGGATATATAAGTGCCATATCCATCCTTCAGTACAGATGTGAACACTGGCATTTTAATTCTAACAGGTAACTTGCTTGCAAGTAACTACAAGTATATTTTTTTCAAGCTGACATGGATGGTTTTGAAAGCTGCATTTTAAAAATGTAAAGGAAGCAAAAGTATCACGTCTCTTCCTTTCGTAGATGCACACAGTCAACATTTGACTTTGTTTAATAAGTGCTCCATTTCCCCATGCAAGCTGAAGGGAAATATAATTCAATAGGAGCCATCCTGATTATTAAAGTGTCTGATGTCAAGCCAGAGGTCGAATAATGCCTTTATTAGAAATCGTGGCTTGTAAACAATAAATCCCCACCCATCACAGTTTTTCAGTGAAAGACTGTAAGGCTAAGAAGGAAGACTAAACTATTCAGTGACTACGTGAAATAATAAAGCCAAAATCTGATCTTACTTAGCTTGATTTTTGCAGTGTAGTCCAGTTAATCTTTGATTTATGTTCATACAAAACAGAATCAGACTGTTAGATGAGTAGCTGTGAAGTACAAACAAAACAAAACCCACCTCTTGGATCTAAATGCTTTGACCATAAAAAAGAAGGAAAATACACTGATTTTCCCCTATATTCATACACATAATACGTGTATGTAAGCATGTGTGTAATAGGTTCACATGAAAGTCACCGTGACAACATGGAGCATTACTTTACCCTTACAGTGGAAGCTTTAGCAAGGCTAAGCAAATTAAAGACATACCATTCAATAAATAGTCTCAGAAAAAGAGCATTATTTCTACAAACTTACTGTTCGACAGTTAGAGGTTTCATGTCATCCTCATTTATCATCCTTCTGCCAAGCTCAAGTATGTCCTAACAAGTCCGAATTTTCAGCATTCAGAAGTACCCAGTGTTTATGAAGACAATGGTACAAATTGGTATTTACACATTAAAGCTTTCTATAAATACACCAGAAGAAATGTGGAGCAGCCGATCGAATGGACGATGAGGGGCACAAAAGCAGTTTTAGAAATGGGCATACTTCACATTTCATACAAGACCTTGATTCTGTGCAAGTTCATGACCTATTATAAACATTACATGACTTATTACCAGGTCTCACCTCATTCTTGGACACGAGCTATTGATCATATGAATGCTATTATTTCCACATATTTTACCATCCTGCACTGTAGTCCCATGAGTGGCAAAACTAATGCCCATTTCAAGAACAAAACACCTCAATTAAAAGTAAATCTTCATCTGCATGTGGTTCTGATTTCTGATTCAGGATGAAAGTTAGGTAACACTCAGGTTTTAAGCAGAGAGAATACTGCAGGGGCAAAAAATAATACCTGCTTTATTGTATAGGCAATGATTCTGCAAATAGACTGTACATTCTACCTAGAGAATTAATGTTTAATAACTTGGGTTGCAGGTCAAGGTGGCAGATGTGAAAAGAAATTACCATATTTCAGCCTTATATTGCAACATATGTTTCATGACCTATAATTACTCTGATATATGGTTCATTTCTGAAAGACCAAGCTCCTTGAATTATGTGGTTACGCAGGAACATACTTTTCTTTGTGTTTTTTTTAGCAGCTTCTAGAGTGTGAATAAAAGAACTGTATGAGTGTAATAATACTCATATAATTCAGAAACTGCTGTAGCTGTGTTGCTACTGAGTCTACTGATTAAAATTAACAGTAATTCCCAAATGGATGCTGATGCTAGGCAAAAACATCACAGGATGGCAAATATACATCATTTTAAAAGTAATATGTAAGGGCCATGCGAACCAGGTAATAAAAAGGTATGAGAAAAACAGAGATGCCATTTATGTAAGAAATATTTTTTGGGTGGTCAAAATTTACTGTGGTGGAGAAATGACTGTGGAGTACCAAAATTCTCCACTAAGGAACGGATTAATTCTCCTCTCTGTGGTCACCAGCCCATGTGCTATCAGTTCTCAGTCTCTTCAGTACCCTGCAAGTTATTCCTGTCTGAGCTTCAGTTTTCCAATTCTTGCTCACCAGCGTCGGACTGTCCGTGTGTGACAGAACAAAATTCCAGCATTTCAGTAACCGATCAGCCAACATTGGCTCTTGCTTTGTGTTGCAATTCACTCTCCAAAGTCAGACTGGACATGCCTTCAGCTTGCTTGGAATCAATTCCTTAATTACTATTGTACCTACCTTTCTCCCATGATGAGATAAACCACCCTCCAATGCCATCTAGTGATGCCCACAGATTTTTTCAAAAATCTAGATCTTAAGCTTTCCAAGTAATCATTGTGCATGTGCATTTTGATTCCTTCCAAATTGTTTGGTGATGTAGGAGAGCACAGTATCTGCTCCTGCTGTCACCTGGAAAGTCATTTGGTGCCAAGTGCCTTCATCTTCCATTTTGTGTACCTCCGATGTGAATTCTACCAAAGGACCTCCTGAAGCTACCTTCTGAGGGCCGTGTGTCTTACTTTTAAAGCAGAGCTCCAAATGTGAAGTCCTACTATAGTAATTTTAAAACTACGCAGTATCTACTATAGCAAACCAAGTATGACTGGCATCAAATTTCTGTTGCTGTGCCCTCTCAGACATGTCGAGGCTCAAATCTGAGGAACTGAACACAGAGGGGATGAAGCAAGGAATGGCAAATTTGCTGTGTATAGTGTATTGGACACCATCTGTATTTTATTCAAATAGGGATATATATTTTGTGAAAATAAAAACCAGCCTCATGAGTCAG